GCAGATCTCCTAGTGGCATCGGTCACTATCAAATGCCCTGCCTAACACTGTACAGGGACAAACGTCCACCGAGAGGCCCAATCCACTCATGGTAACCTCGTGATGACTTTTGTCGACGTGAGGGGCTCGACAACCTGGATATTGGAGGGACCTTTCCAAGGTCTATCCCCACGGGTGTTGCGGTAGATGAGCATCTCCGCCACCTGCCTAGCCAGGCCATCGTAGCCATGGCGAGACGCTATACTTGGCCAGACTCAACATGTACCCGTACATCCGGTCTGCGAAGTGCTTGTACCTAGACCGGCGAGGTCCTATAGCGTAACAAGCCGACTTTACTCATCGTGAGAGGCTCATGACAACCTTGCTAGAAGGCCAGCTCGACGACGGCCTCGTGGGGTCTTCTTATGAAGGCTATCATCCGAGCCAATATCTTCGCCAAGTCTAGCCATCAACTGGAGGCCAGCCGCGCCATGTTGCCACGCTTGTCCCATGGGTATGCCTCCCGATCGCTTGATTGCTCACACGGAGACACTCGGCCGAGCTTTTAGACAGCTTTCGACAGAGTCCGGCATAGTCGGGCTCGATGCGGACATGATTGCTCTTCCGAATTCCTATGGCCTGACTTTGACTGGCCACGCCGGGGCTTCCATGGTTGTTGATGGCAATTTTGAAGCTTGTGGTGTAGTCCACTCAAGCACGCTGTCGCAACTGCCAACATAACTGGATGAGCTAGTCTGCTAGGGTGTAGTCCGATGTGACTGCATCGTCTAGAACGTCGCCCATCATTATCAATCGCAATTATGCGCACAACGCACTAGTCCTGGTCTGGGAAAAAAAATCTCGTCAAATTTGGAACTGAGTCGAGGCTTTCGCAAGCTAAGTTCCGAACGAGTCGGCAAGACAGGCAACAATTACAAGATGTAGCCGTTTCGGACAGGCCCGTCTCAGGTCAAACACCCTCCGAGAAACATTTTGGTGGCGGTATACTTTCCGGTGCCAGATCTGGGGAGCTCATCTCACTTCCTCTTTAAGACTAAGGCGAAGGAACGGCGACGCTTGTGCTGTGACGCTTGGCGAACCCCTTAGGGACCGATTCTGGAGGCAGATTGGTCCAGGGGAAAGCGCATGAGAAGCTTGTTTGTCATGACAAAAGTTGTTTGACGGGTCTGTCGTCGAGTTTAAGCCGATGATTTCTCGGGCGATGCTGACACTGCCTAATGCAACAGCTCGGGTGTGAGATGCACCGTGAGACAGCTTCATCTCAAGTTGCCGAAGCGGGGGTTTGCAGCCGTAGGTTTCCGATCGCCCGAGCCCACCGAAGACTAGACCAAATGATGGCCCTCATAGGCTGACTGATGTTGAAAGATCCGAAGAGCACTTCGATCCGATGGGCTGACATTGATCCAACGAGCACTATTGATATCCAATACCGGACAAAGTTGTTCGGCGGTGGGTTTCCGGCTGGTTCGGCCGGCGGATCCAGCCAAGACCGACTCCACGCCGTGTTGCCGAGCCGGAGCATGCCGATCATCATCAGAGGGAAGTCCGGTGACCGCCATCAGAGTGTAGGATCCGCTTGATGGGTCAATGAAGGTCATATGAATACCGAGTTACGTAGTTGGAGGCGGGGAATGATGCCGTCTTGGTGCTGTGGGAAAGAGTCTGCAAAAGCAAAATGCCGAAGATCTTGACTCTGTCTTTTGCTCGTCCATTCTTTCTAGCAGTAACCCCTAGTTGGAGAGACAATCAGATTAGTGTCTCGCCTGCGAATAGATCTGCGCGGAGCATCGTGCCATGGCTGTGAAAAGAGACGTTGCGGTCGCGCAGGTCGATACATGCAAGTCGGTCCCAATTCCTGCAGCCGCCAAAGAAACGGCAAGGACCACCATGCTGTGCTGAGATTTTGCTTTTTGTTTGTTCGTAAATGGCCGTGATCCAGACTTTTCGACGGGAAGCAATGTTTCGTGGATCAGGGCCTGCGGCACCCGTGAGGCGTATTGTAGGCCCCATCGTGATGTTCCTCGTCGCACCCTGGCCGATCGTGCTTGATGAGACCACTCCATCGAAGTCCACTCCTTGCAGAAAGAAGCAAGATGATGACGGCGACACTCCCATGATGCATTGCAGATGCAAAGGAAACAGATCCTCGTGCAGGATCTTGCAGATGAAGTGACTGTCTCCTTGGAAGTCATCTTACGCCCCTCGACGATCGATTGCAGCGTCCAGTGGGTGTGTTACACCTGCCCAGGGATTCCATTTGTTAGTGCACACCAGGGTCCACCGTTACCAGGGCTGGGGAAAAGTCGAGAAATGGTAACAGTGGCCCCCCTTACCGCACTAACGTATGAAACCCCGAAGGAGGTGTGCTTCGGTTCCAGGGTGTAATAGTGGACTTGCGACAGATGATCCAAGATATGGCGAGAGGAGTTTGAGTAGTTGTTGTCTCTCAATTCTCGTTTGTCGTGTGCGCTCCATTCCCTTGATGAATGAGAGCAGGGAATTGATATCTGACCAAATTTCTGGAACACATTAGCCTGTTCGCTTCCACGCATCCTTGCCAATTGCTAGTCAGAAAAAGCAAAATCATGAGCTGTAGATCTGTCGATTGGCTGCCCAGTATGAAGTACGCGAGGTGTCTGTCGGATGTTGAGTTCGATCGGTTTGGTGCTATGGCTGTGGAATACCATCCAGCAGGGCTCATCTTGGGCGATCGAGCCAATCTTGCAGTGCGTAAGCAAAACTAATGCCGAAGGGATCAGGGCGGGTCAGAGTCGATTGCAGTTCCGGGATGCGACTTGTCGACTGGAAATGAGAAAAAAGAACCCCTTTGATGTGATCAAAGACTGGTATCCATGATAGGTGTGTTTGCCTGTCAAGAACCCCGGTCGCAGAGGCTAGTAGATCAACCGCACCTCCTTGGTGCCAACTGTTTGTGCCATTGGGAGACGAGCTGTCGGATTTCTGGATGCAGGGAGGTGTGATTCCGGTAGTAGACCAGACGCGGCTCAGCAGTCATCCCGACATCACCACTAATGCTGCCTCGGGGCATCACGGGGAAGTTGCCGGACGGGTTAGAACATGGTGTTGTCAAACTGGCGAAAACCGTTGCCAACCGACCGGAGGCACATAATCGTACCACGAGAATCTGACAGGCCGGGGGCCGTTGTTCTTTTACATGGTGGTTGGTTGTGGAAAAAGAAAATATGCCCGTATGTATCTCTTAGATCGAACACTGTGCCACAACAGCAGTAATCTGGCGTTTGGTGTTTGCTTGTCCAATGTTTGCTTTTTCGGCCCCGGGCCAGGCCTTTAAAGCCGCTTGATATTAGTTGATTTGTCTCAATCATGTCTCTTCTTGTCTGCTGACCTGTCACTTGTCGCTTCTGGACACGAGAAAAGCTGTTGGTAAAAAAGCAAAACAGGCTTTGCAATTCTCGTGGTTTGGTGAGGACGAAGTAACCAACTGTACCGCTACTTGACCTCAACGGCTGTCTCGGTTCGTTGATAGCAGGCTGTGACCAAACCTGTTCTGGTTCATTCGGCGAGTACTCCGTCTTCCTCAGGCTGAAACTGGGTTGGCTCGTTGGGGATGTTTCTGTCGAGATAAGAAATGCTTGGTAGCGACGATGTCGTGTTTGATGATGTAGATGATGTCGAGGAAGAAACAGAAGAGGACGGGGAGGACGGCAGCTTCAGTTTCTGAGGCAAGCCACAGTTTCGGCTGTGCCTTCTACAATGCGACCTGGATATAGATGCCGGCAGCCAGTTGACATCACGTGGTTACTCTTACCCTCCAAATTGGAAAGAGAGTTGTTGGGATGGAAAGGGCGTTTCATGCACCATGGCAGTGAGAGTAGGAGGTGCCTTTGTCGGTGGATGGACAACAGAGTCAGCAGCCTAAGGGCTTCAAAATGGCTACTTGAAGCACTGGTAATGGGGGTTGGATATGAGATGAGATTCGCAGATATCGACAGAGTGGCGAGTGTAAGAGCCCCGACTGAAGTGCACTTGCCTCCCAATGAGCAAACACCTCGTTTACCTCACAGGTTTGGCTGTCGTTGTGTGGTTTCTGATCATGTCCTAGAATAGAGCTGCCCGGCGAATATCATCAGTCCTATTCGCAATTTAGCAACTGTTACTTTCAAGGTAGCAGCTCTGTTGCAAAAAACCACAGACATTGTGCCTCCACTCCACGCCTTGCTACACAGCAAACTCGACCTCAGGACACAGAACGACGAAGCGCAAACATAAATCAAAGGCAGAAGATAAAATAATGAGAGTGGAAGTATTATTGAGAGTGCCTTTGCCCCACATCTACCAGAAGGCCTTCATGATCGTCGCCCATCCATCCGCTCAGCAGGACTTCAAGTCTCAAGAAATCCACTGTTCAAAACACCAAAAAACATACAACACCAGGTATTCGCTGGTCGTCACCGACCCAACTACTAATCCGGCCCTCATTAGCTTATCTATGGGAGAGCGGACGGGATCCCGAGTTTTCCAATGGGTATGGTCGTATGTGGAAGTTTGATGCGTGTGAGTAGAAAATGACGTCTCGAGCAGAGCTGTGTCGACGATCACAGGTTTGGGAATTCAAACACACTCGAAAGCAAAAGACCAAAATTTAGTTGGCAGAAAATTTTCAAGTCTTAATTGGATATATCAATCATAAGAAGCTGTGACATTCATGCGCGATTCCTGCTCAAGACTTTCAAAGCTTCGCATTCGCCTCGGCCTAGAATGGCCGGTTTACTCATTATCCGCGTGATATCATCAAGCCCAAACAACAGAGACCAGCAATACTATTAGAACAACGCCGGATTCTAGGTAAAGACATATCTCATTCAATTGACTGTGAAATAATGAAATCTCCCCGCAGCTACCCATCAGCCAGCCGACCTGGGCCAGACCATACGCGCGCATCATGAACCTAACCTCCCAGCTTAGTGACAGAGATCTAAGAGACCTCATCTCAAATCATAGTAAACCACATCATAGCGTCAGTACCGCCCGCCCATTCTCTCTAGATCCGCCTCCTCTATCACGGGACTACTCACCCTTCCGTCCACCTTTTGTATCGAACTGGCCCCAACACCTGTTCCACCGCCTCCAACGCTCCAACTACCCCAGCTACTCCTCTCTCGTGACTCTCTTGCACATGCCTCTGTCAAATCACACAAGTCTCTTGACTCCTTCCCCAACACCAGGCCTCGGGCTGGACTCCGGGGAGGCACCCACCCATTGCTCACAGCGGCGCTGACACTACTGAAACTGTCTCCTCGCTGCCGGTGCTGGTGCTGGTGCTGGTGCTGTTTTCCGTGGAAGGATATAGGACTCGCGGGACTTCCAGGAGTTGCCGGCGGAAGCGAGCGGTTCGGGGGAGGACCTGGACAGACGAGGTCTGGGATCTGTAGCGATTTCTCGTGGGGACGCGGAGGTCTCATCGGCCACGAGGGTGTGAGGTGCGGGAACGTGCTCGAGACGTTGGACACGGTGGTGGCGGTGCGACCGCTCGCGGCGCTGCTCATGCTCGATGTCTTTCCGGATCGTGAGCCAGTGCCATCGAACGTGCTCGGCGGAGGAACGCCATAGTACGGCTTGGTTGAGCGATTGTATTCCGGAGGAAGTCTGGTGGTCGTAGGTGTTGGCGTCGAGGACGGCGAGATAGGGAACGGAGAATAGCCGCCTGCCGTTTCGACTGAGGCGTCGAGCGGGGTCCGTGGGATGGAGACGTTGATGTGCGGTCTCTCGGGGTTCCTGGGGGTGGAAAGCAGCCGTCGTTGCTGTAGACGGGGCGGAGGTGTCAATGGCGTACGAATTCCTTCACGTATAGCATACAAGTTCCTCGACAGTGGTGTGGGTGATGTATCCGGCCGGGGATTGGGATGTCTGATCTCCTTCTTCAAGCTGTAGTTGTATTCTTCCCGCGAGCGACGACGGAACAGACATATCATGAAGGCCATTATCGCGAGAAAGGTTATGATGGAGGACGCCCCGATGGCGACTTTAGCTCCCATGGGTAAACCGTCTTGTCGATGGCCTTGAGACTGATTTGCAAACGGAATAGAGATTGTTGGAGTCTGCGTTTCTGAAGTCGTTGAACGTGTCGAGGGTTTCATGGTCGACAATGTAGTCGACAGCATGTCTTCCGATGGCTCCGTAGCCATCACCTTGAAGCCGGTGCGCGTTGGTTCTATCTCTTTTGAATCCGTCATGAATATCGGCACTGGGTTCTGAATGGTAAGTGGCCCGTCTGATGATATCGCGCAGAGAAAGTCGTCTGGAGGAGGCCCTGGATCTTTAATCGCTGGGGCGTGGACACTGATTCCTACGGTCAGCTGGGGACAATAGGACTTGAAGAGGGCGACTCACTTTTGCTGGCATATATTAATGATCAGATTGACGCTGGCTAAGCTAGAGTCAGAAGCCATCCAAGCAGAAGACGAGTTCTATCACTCTACTCACGATCCTGTCCCAAGTCTGAATTTCCACTTAAATGAACCCCGCATGAACTCGAGTCGCAGCAATATAATTCCCAGAAAGTCTTCTTCGCATCCGCATCGTCGGATAGCAACTTGCACATCTCAGCGTACCTTGTCTCATCGAAGCCCGGTATCACTCTGGCAAGGGTCTGGGCTCGACACTGCTCGATGCACTTTTTCGCGTCGGGAATATTGCTCGCCTCTGTTCCCCATGTCTCCTTTTTCTTGTCCAGGTCCGGATGATCATCTTCCCCTGTTTCCATAGTCGATAGATTAACCCCAGTCCAGCAGGGCTGTGATGAACGGCAAGGCGGATTTCGACTTTATTTGAGTGAGTGTAACTGTGAGTATAGTTTTGTGTGAGTCCGATGATGGGAGGCTTTCAGGTCGAGTAAGACAAAAGGTCAGTTTCCAAGTGCGGTTGAGCTGAAATCAAGGTGCCCCTCGTGATAAAGATCTTGGCAAATTCAGAAATGATCATAAGTGATATCAGGTCGACAGAACTCAAATGCAAGATTTAACTAGGTGATTAAACCTTCAAGAAACGTCCACATCGTCGATATATACCTTGTTTGTATCAAGACATACCAGGCAGCTCGCACGGGAGGCTCGGTGAAATTGAGAGGTGGACAAGGGGTCGGAAGAGACTCTGGTCAAGCACGAACGAGATGGCTACACCGCACTGTATCTGCCCACTGCCGGTTCAAGTGTCCTTCGTATGTATCCAACGTCGTACAATCCTCAGAAAGGTTGGGAAAGGAAGATGCACACACCCGACTGGCCGCAGAGGGTTGGAGAAGGAACCCGGACTTGGAAAAATTGATGTAGATGGGCCGCGAACCCGCCGTGAATAAAACTCGAGGCAAGTCCGTTGGCTTGTAGAACGGCCTCAATCAGCATGATACTCCTGGCATCGAATCAACTTTTCGTGATTTGCGTCCTCGAAGATGCTGCATCAACAAGGGGAAGCTGACATTCTCTAAGAGAAGTGATCCGTTTCGGCGTCCACCAACCTCGTATTTCCAAAGTCTCTCAATAGTATGCATTCCGCTCGTTGAGATGCCGCCCGAAATTCTCTCACCTCATTTCGTTCGAGCGTCAGTCTTATCACGAGATTCTCATAAATTCTGTGATTGGACCTGCATCGACAAGCCTTTCGTGTCACGAACGGCCCTACTTCGCACGAAACTCAACAGGAAGCACCGCGGCGGGGACAGGATTCGAAACCCCTCCATTCGGAGGATACACGGTCAGAATAGCAACGAGAACCCCCCCCCCCCCCCCCCCCCCCCCTCTCCCCCCCCCTGTTTTCGTACGCGCCCGTGAGCCTGCGGCCTACCCACACAACACTCTTATGGGTGGGGTGGCGGTCTCTTCTCTTTTTTCTCGGGGGAACCGGCCAGGGTGTGACGCCCGCGCCCCCCCCCCCCCCCCCCCCCGCCCCGGTGATCGTCAGCCGGGTGCGAAGACGGCCCGTTAAGCTAGCCGAATACCTACTAAGCTTATATGGGATGGGTGTAGCCGTCTTCTGCTCTTTGCCCGGGAGAACGTAGCGAGGGTATCACGACGGGCCCGGGATCGTCTGGCGGCGTTGCTGAAGAACACAGACCAAGGTATCACCGGGCCGGGAGCCAATGAATGTTGATCTTACGCGAGCTCCCACAGGCTCGTTGTCAGACTGTACGAAATGCCTTCCATGATGAGCTAGCGCCGATGGACTCGTGGTCAACTTGGCTACATTCTTATTTTTGCATGCCTCCTGGATCAGCTACAGGTGACACTTCAACTCCTTGGTGTCTCAGGTGTGCGAAGGAGAGTGCGCATGTAGTATGATGTCGTACAAGCTTGTTGCCCACGATGTGCCATCGTAAGTGGCAAGGCCTTGGTATGGGCTACAAAACCAAGATCCATTCCGACGAGACCCTGTTTTCTTGAGTAGAAGAGTTGTAAAAAGCAGTTCGTCATGGTTGAAAGAGCATTACACCTTCTAGAAGCCTGGTCGTCATGTCGAAAACGGTTTGTTCTCGGGTTGAGACAGTACTTCATGTCTGCAGCCGTCACACTGGTATCCAAAATGCCCTTATCTTGGGTCTGTCTTGACGCAAATCAGTCAATGAGCACTTGCACTTGTGAGCCAGAGAAACATGCAGCTTGGGACGGCGATCAGACCCAAAGTGTCAAGAAGTGGCGAGCGCTCCACGGGAATGACCAACATTCCCTCTTGCTCAACCACCACTGAATTTACGGCTTGGACTGAAGAACAGGGGTCCAAAAGTACCATTGGATTGATCTGTAGCAGGTTGTAGATCTGGCGCAGGCGGCGGCGGCGGCAACGCGTCGCAGGTTGGCCAAGGTAGGGCTGTGCAACTCGCGTGGGAAAATCTCCGTGATATCTACCTAGAAAGCTGAAAGATAGAACACTGGGGCGAACTTCAACGGAGATGCCTCATTGGTATGGCGTTCTTTGGCGTTATATGGCTGGGTATTGATGGCCGAAGGCTGCAGGGATTTACCGAGATATCTGAAGCCACCTGGGGTGGCAGGCATGCACGACGGGCGGCCATGATTTGGTATTGGGCAAAGTGGCACTTGGACCCCCTATTCTACACTTATTTTCCAGCTTGGCAGGGAAAGAGTAGACCGATCGAGATGCCAGTGGCACTTTACGCGTCCCCATGTTAACGAGCCGTCGGGGATGGCTTCTTCAGAGCTCTCGTATCGAGAAAACACTAATTTCCTCGTCACCCAACAAGAGGCTATTATCAGATTCATCGTCAGGTCTATCGTTGGGTTGCGCCACCTGAGCCTCATGATTTGAGCTGGCTAGTAAGTGCAACGTCGAAAATTTCTGCCAGAGACAGTAACTTGTCTAATCTATAAAGCAAAAATCAACTTCCAGGTCTGTCTAGAGAGCTGAAACCTTGGAGGGATCAGGCCAGGTCGAATAAGCACTCAAAACATGGATTCAAAAGAAGTGCTGAAGAACCGGTATTTCGGCCAGTTGCCTTGATAAGTAGTTTACTCTAGGTCTGGGGACTGCGAGAAACAGGCAGTAAGAAAATGGTACGCCACCGCCGGGAGGCTGCAGCAATCCTATGGTTTTGTTTGCTTGCTCAGCTCCACCCGACAAGGCCGCAGTGAACGTGCCGGTCCTTGATTTGTGGAAATGGCGCCAGCTGAAGGATGAGCGTGCATGTAGTTTCCCGCCGAAGGTCGTTTGTACAGGGCGAGCAAGTAAATTGATGGTGGGGGGCAGGTTGATCTTGGAACGTCGGTGGTCTCTCTTGTTGGAGTTGCTTTTCAAATACTCCCGAGGCGCGCCGCAAAGTGCGTATTGCTATTATGCGGCCGTAAGCATGCCCCCCTATTGAGAGGCATACTTGATCGAAATAGCTCGGGCAGTCGGCGGTGACACGATTGGGCAATCGGTAAATGGCAACCTTTCTGGCGGAAACACATTCATCCACCTACTTTAGGCATCGAGACATACCTCAGTATGTGTACCGATCAAATGCATACCTAATATGACACTGCTGTTCCTCAATCATGTAGAATCACAGCCACTTCCTCAACAAACCATAGAGATATTGAAGTGGGCCCTCTGTTGCGACTGTCATCACCATGCTGACCGAGAAAGCCGATTCAAGTATGCAACCAGACTCGTTCCTCATTGTAAGTTTGGCCGTGAGACACGTGGGTAGGATACACGTGCAGACCCGTACGATTGACAACTCATCTTTCAGGACCTGATTATCTTTCTGGACTCGACGTGGCGGGATTGAGCAGGCACTATGGAAGGAGGGTCGGCCACAATGCCGTTTTCCCGGGTTGTGTCAGCGGCCGGCATTATCGCCCGCAAAATCCGGCCCCGTAATGCCGAGTTCGTCGGGAGGAGGTGCCCGAGGAAACGGCGCGGGACCGCCTGAGAGAAATGAGCGAATCGATGGCGCCCTGAATGAGCGGGATGACGTGACGGCGTGGGTGGGGGGAAATTGTGGGACGCTCCGACGCTCCGACGCAACTCACGCTGGGACCTGAGTGGTGCGCGGGGGGTTGAGAGAGCGGGGCATTTGGGGGTTTGTTCATCATCATGCAATGGAGGGGTAAAGTGACGGCGTCCTTGATGGTGGAGGGGTCGAGCTGTAAGGAAGATAAAAAAGGTTCGAGGGGTCTCCTTTAGACTAGAGGTTCAATCTCTCAAGAGCAATCAACCATCGAAGCCTCGCTATTTCATCATCCTTACTACGCCTCAAGCGACATTCAAGAATAGATATCGAGAATAAAACAAACGACAAGATGACCAAAGTTTTACTTACAGGTGAGCGATGTGTGAGGCTACAGCCACAGTCTCACTGGCACCCGTGACACATGTGCAAGAAGTTGCCACTCCAGCCAGGTAAACACCACTCAAGAGCACGAGTATCTAACACGCGGCAGGCGGTTCCGGCTTCATCGCCGCACACATCCTCGAACAGCTCCTCGCGCGCGGGCACTCGGTCGTGACGACCGTCCGCTCCGAGGACAAGGCCCAGAGGATCCGCGACGCCCACAAGAACCTCGACGCCTCGCGCCTTGAGATCGCCATCGTCCCGGACATTGCGCGCGAGGACGCCTTTGACGAGGTCGTCAAGACGCCCGGCCTCGAGGCGGTGCTCCACACGGCCAGCCCCTTCCACTTCAAGTGGACCGACGCCCAAAAGGAGCTCATCGACCCGGCCGTTATCGGCACGACGGCCATCCTCAAGGCGCTCAAGAGGGACGCGCCGGGCGTCAAGAGGGTCGTCGTCACGTCGAGCTTCGCGTCCGTCGTTGACGAGGCCAAGGTGGAGGACCCCAACACGGTCTTCACCGAGGAATTCTGGAACCCGGTCACTGTTGAGGATATCGGACGGAACCCGGCGACGGCGTACCGTGCTTCGAAGAAGCTCGCCGAAAAGGCCTCTTGGGATTTCGTCAAAAACGAGAAGCCCGGGTTCGATCTCGTAACGCTGACGCCGCCGCTCGTCTTTGGCCCCGTGGTGCACCATTTCGCGGACCTCAACAGCATCAACACGTCCAACGAGCGGGTCGTGGACCTTGTCAAGGGCAAGTGGAAGGACGCCGTGGCACCGACGGGCGCGGCGTATCTCTGGATCGACGTCCGAGACCTGGCGCTCGCGCACATTTTGGCACTAGAGAAGCCCGAGGCCGGTGGCAAGAGGCTGTTCACGACGGCCGGGTGGTTCAGCAACGCCGAGATTGCGGCGGTGGTGAGGAAGAACTTCCCCGACCTCGGAGACAGGTTGCCCGCGGAGGGTACCAAGGGTGGAGAGCTGCCGCCCAAGGATAAGGTGTATGGATACGACAACAGCGCGACGGAAAAGATTCTGGGTATCAAGTGGAAGAGCTTGGAAGAGAGCATCACCGATTTAGTTAAGGATATCAAGGCGTTCGGGGTCTAGACTGCTCCGTTGCCCGTGAGATCTTAGTAATCATACCACTGCACTATCGGGTTCCTTCCCTCGGAGGGTTACGGGCAAAGCATGAGAATCTGTTTCCTACCTTAAGTATCTCTTCTGCTCCTTCCGTCGAAAAGATGAGGTGGAAAAGGGATGAGGCCATGTGAGAAGTGCCGGTGAGTGAGGCGGTTGCCACCAATCTGATAAGCGAATTAAACATGTGAGCACGTGATGCCGGCCGGCGACCGCACATTCCTATAGTTTGGGTTCTATTTCTTCACATTTAATTGCCTAGAAAAGGGAAACCTCGGAGAGCATTAAACGCGGTATATCAAGCTGTTGAGCACGCTGCATGATGCCTCCAACCTTCACATCACCACGGCATCTAACATCATTCAGGTATGAGCTTAGACTTACCTCAAGCATACGGGATTCAGTGTACAAACACACACACACACACACACACACACATATATATATATATATATACATATATACGACAAGAAGTGAAAGGCTTTATTAGTGTGTGAGGTTGACTATGGAGTGCCGTCTGACACTAGACAACCACTTACAGCCTTGGTTCCTGATATATCAATTCTTTTGGAAAACAGACTGTTTACAAGGTTATTCAATTTCTGCTGTTCACGTCAAATGCCTCTTGAAATATCATGGAAGCAGTCGCAGTCAGTTGCCATGGCGGAAAATGGGCTTGGGTGGACGCCTTCTTGAGATGTTTGTGTTTTCAATGTTGAATAAATAAACAGCCTCTGACGGCAGAAGAAGAAAACAGATTTTCATTTGTCAACAGTAGAGACCCTGCAAGAAGACAAGACTGTCTGTCGACATTTCGCGTCTTTCGCGAGAATATTTTCACTCGTGGGGCCTGGTGGCCGCACTCGCAACCCACGCCAGGACTCTCCTCACCCATGAACACAACGTGAGCAGATTGTAAAAGTCAATTCAAATAATCTGAGGACTTCAGTCAACTACGATAGACGCCGGCTTTGCATTCTATACTATATGGCAGCATTCACCCCCCAAGGGCCAAACCCAGACCAATGACCACCACCACCTCCTCCTCCCCCTCCACCCCATCCAAACGCATCCGGATCCAACATCCCCCTCCGTCCCATCCCCCCAAGCCCACCCCGATTATGCTCCTCACACAAAGTCCGATCCCGACCCCTGACCTCAACACCATTCGTACACCCGGGCTGCCGACACCTCGCATGGCCCGTACAAAACCGCGAATCCCCCTCTGCGTCGGCCCGCTCCGTGCACCCTTCGTGGCCGCACGCGTGGGCCTGACAGTACGGCGACAGCGGTAAATTGAGCCCTCCCGCGCGGTTGAACCCGCCAAACATCATCATCGTCTGGGACAGGACCATGGGCACGCGGAGCTGCTGGCAGCCTACGACGGCGCAGTTTTGGTCTGTACAGTAGGGGCCAAAGTTGGAGCGCTCATTTTGGCAGGTGCGGTCTTTGCAGGTGTGATCTACGCACAACGAGCCTCCGTCGACGACTCGGGAATCGCAGCCTGCCCGGCGGCAGCGGGTTGTTGAGTCTTACTTTGAGTCAGATTGGTGGATTTGAGGCAAGAGGGAGTGAAGGAATCAAGGTGAAGACACGGGGGCCAGGGGGGAGAGAGTCGATGTCAAAGATGATATCGAGAGGGAAGAAAAGGGGAGGTGACACTTACGCTCCTCACACACGTCTCTCACGTTCTCCCCATCCACATGTCGAAACCGCTCACACCCAGGCGTCCTACACATCCGGTGCCGATCACAGTAATGCCCGTACTCCCCCTGCCTGTCACACCCAGGCCTGGCGCACTGGTGCATGGGACACCACTTATCCAACCACTTCCTCTCCCAACAATCATCCGTCTCGCACTCGTGGCGCTTACAATACCGCCCGGCGTCCCTCCGGTGACGCGTCTTGGGCCGCGTGCAGCCCCTCTCCTCGCACGTGTGCGCCGCGCACGTCTCGTCGGCGTCCTCGGCCCGCCCGTTGTTGCAGGCCGGCTCGAACTTGCAGTAGTGCTCGCCGCAGTGGGCCGAGGTGACCCCCCGCTCGCTGACGTGGGCGAAGCGCCGGCAGCCCGCCGCGGCGCACATGCGGTGGCGGTCGCAGTGTCGGGAGGCGTCGTGCGGGTCGCCCGTCGCGCCGGGGCAGCGGGCCAGGCAGGATGGGGCGGCGCAGGTGTGGGAGGCACAGAAGGAGGAAGGCGAGGCCTTTGGGTTTGTGCAGTCTTGGTGGTCGCAGCGGTGGTCGGGGCAGTATCGGTAGTCGACGCCGTTGGGGTGGTTGCGTTGGTTTGCGCAGCCTTGCTGGAGGCAGTTGTCTGGAGTTTTGTTAGTTTGTGGATGACGACAGACGGAGGGCATGCTGGAAAATGGTTTTGGGATGGAGCCAACGTACGGTACTGCGAGCAAAACCTGAATTCCTTGGGATCGTAATTCTTGATGTAATTGGTGCATCTGCCATCATTCATTGTGCCTTGGCATAGTAGATCTAACAAGAAGGATCAGCTACCGAAGCTACGGTGGTAATGTGAGATCTTGGAGGTCTAGGGGGCGAAGCACGTTGTTGACAATAGCCCTTGTTATTTGTCCTCATGTTCACACATGCAGCGTTGTTGTCAATCTTCTTGCAGCAGTGAAGTTTGCAGAAACGAGATGGAAAGCGGTGTCCCTCCTTTGTCAACGTTACCCTGGAGTAGGGACATCGGCCCATGGGAGTTGCGTAGCTGCATAGTCTTTCCAGCTCTTGAGGCGTGAGTCTTTTTCTCCTGCTCATGGTGATTCCCAGGACGAATTCAGGCCGATTCGATGTTTTTTCTTATCTATTTATCAATTCTGATGAGACGACTTGTCAAAAATCTGGGTTGAATTGTCAAAACTCAAGGAGGGAGAAAAAACGAGGGAGCAGGTTGTCGCCAACTTTAGTTCTCTTGGGATTTTATATGCGGACACCAGGTGAACCCTGCTTAACTTGGCGCAATAGTCGGTGAGCAGGCACCCGCGAGGCAGATCAAGGCAGAAACTCGCGAGAAAAACAGTTCTTGGTGGAATGCGAGATGTGATGGGAAAACCAAGCATGATGACGCGGGGAAGGCGGTGCTCGATGTATGACGAGGGCGGATGCCCGTGTGAGAGCCCGGTAGAGACCCGATTAGGCGTTCTCCCATGAAAGGGAAGACTCGTGACTTGTAGATGAGGAGGGAAAGGTCAAGAATTCATCGTGTACGATGAAATTTTTGCGTAAGGAGACGTAGTTTGGCTGTAGTGTTGGGGAGGCGGTGTGCCTCACGATGGTTTCACGGGGATGTCGATACCCGTTGCTGCTTCAACGGTCAAGCTAGTTCGGAAGAAAAATGAGACCAATGACTGCTTGCTTCACAACCAAAGGAGATACGAGAGTACTGGGCCGAGTGCTTAGATTTCCAACCGTCGTCTAATTCGCAGGCGATGGATTCGACCAAACACTAGGAAGAAAGCATCCATGTTCCAGATATGAGGGCCATCTACGTAGTTTCCACATACTGTGATTGACGTCCGCATTCAAGATTAATGATTTGGGAAGACTTATCTCTGGAGGATAAGTAAGCGTTCCTGTGTCTCATGATATTTGTATGGGTTGATTGGCCGAGAATGCGGTGACAAGTCTTGTACAGCGCTTGATAAAAGATCTGTTTCATAAGGTGCTCATAGCAGTCAGTCAAACGTAGTTGGGTGACATTTGTACCACTGAGTATCTACCATTCGCTCATGCTGAATGAGGTGAGGGGCAACAGACAGCGGATCAATCACTTACGTCTGTCTGTCTATATCGAAAACAGATGCTCGAATACAGATAGTGTTTCTATCATACACATTAGCAAACCTTGATACCTTTGACACGTTTGAAGATACTGGAAGTATTGTGAAGTCTTGACGCCGAAGAGTAAGCAGGACACTTTCTCACTCTGTCGCCGTCGTCAACCTGGTAGATGTCCGTCCATCCAGATGTAGGTGAAATAGGTACTAGGTATGGCGGGTAGGTCGCTCTACTGCGTAGGCATGCATGCATGTATGTTTCCACATCAACACCGTCCCCCAAAAAGCAAAAGAAATGCGTCGAGGGGGAATCGAACCCCCGGCTCCCCGACGCTGCTTGATGGCAACGGAGAATTTTACCACTAAACCATCGACGCGGATGTGGCTGATACTCAGATCGAGGGTATCTCGATGCTGGGTTGACGATGGGGCGAGGTGGATGTGGACTTATATCGCGCAGTGCAATCTTCGACGAGGGGGGCTGTGGTGGGTTGGCGTTGGTGTTGTGGAGCTCGGCGGGTGGGGCTCATTAACCCGTGCAGACTCACAGGAGGATCTGATTTTGTAGTAAAAAATTCAAGCCGATCTTGAAAATAGATTTGCGCGGTGTAAGAATGTCGGAATTATGCTTGATGCATGTGCGTGGCTCAGCGTTGGGTTGGGCGTGTGTGAGATGAGTGGGTTGGTTGGCGGTTGCGAAACGTACGGGTGGTGGTGACCAGGGCAACTTTTGAGGGAGAGTGCCATAGTACGGTGCTGGGTAAGGAATGTCTTCATTCAAGTGAAAGCCAACAATCCAAAGTAGGGACAGGAAACTGGAGTTTAGAAATTTGAGTTTTTGTAGCGTCATCCAGAAACTTGAACTGAGCTATATCGACGTCAACAGGAGTCGCAAGCGGAAGGCATGTCCCTCTCGAAAGGTTACAACTGTGTCACATTTCGACAATGATCACCAGTACTTTAAATCACCAGGGCCAAACTCCTAGGGTCATCACTGTATTGTTCACCGCTTACCCTCAATCACAATCCGGATTGTAGAGGCATATCTAAGCCTCTTCAGCTTCTTTTCCTGTAATGTTGAAAGCTGGTCAAGCACTCTTGACCGACTGGAATGACAAGTTTCCCTCCGGCGCGCTATGCCATGTGAAATGTATCCCCCCCTCTCTCTGTTCTTCCCGTGCTGTGGAACCGAAACCGCACAGATGCTGTACTCTACGCCGAGTCACCCTCCAATCCCTCCTCCAAGTCTTCGCCGTCGCCTTTGAGAACTTCGGCCTCGGCCGTCGTCAAGCCTTTTCTAATAGCGAGGACGTTGTCCACAATCACTGCGTCGATGCCTTCTTTCACCTGGCGCTGCGAGAAACAGTTAGCACGGCTTGTGCCCGCAGTGTATGTATGCCGGGAGGAAGCTTACCTGGACCATGATGGGGTTATTGTTCAATGTTCCGTAGCTGACACATAGGAGACCGCTTTCCTTGACGACTCGTACTAGCCGAGGACTGTTGATGAGCGGCTCAGCGGCACTGACGATGCCAATCAAGTTCCAGCGACTGGCGAATCGAATCGCCTCCTGAAGCGAGGACGCTCTGATATCACCGACAGGGCAGGTGCCTGCATCCGTCAAGAACATGATGGGGATGGAAGGCTGCTTGAAGGTCAAGCAGAGACAGATGTCCGGGTTAAATGAGCTGAAGATGATGTGTCTGTTACCAGCGAGGTCGTAAACCTTGGACAGGACAGTGTCGCAGAAGGAATTCAGCTCGACAGCGTAGGTGTCCATCTCCTGCTCCTCACTCTCGTGGAGCATGGGGTACTTCATCTCAATGTTGAAGCCGATATGCTCGGGGAGCTGTCGGAACAAGTCCTCCAAGGTGGCGAACGGGGCCTGAATGAAGTTGCCCCTGGAGTTGGCTTTGTAGCCCTTGTTCTTGAAGTCCCGAGTGTGCTTCATGCGCTCTTCACTGTGCCCGTTGAGGCTGTCGCCAGCGTAGCCCATGGACAAAGATCGTTGTCTGGGGCCGGGTGTGTTGTTCCTCACTCGCTCAATCCTCTCATTAACAGCGTTAACACCATTGTTGCGGTTCGAGTCGGGGTTGATGTGCAGGAATTGCTCCAAGGTCAAGGTATGGACTGGGGCATCGATACCTGTCTCGCTGACTAGGAAATCGTGGTAGATGACCGGAACGTGATCCTTGGTCAACTGCACATCAAACTCAACGTACTGCGCGCCGAGATTGGCTGCTGCGATGAAGGAAGGTACCGTATTCTCTCCAAGCTGGAGAGACTTGTTGCTCGTCAAGTTCTTACCCATGCCGCGGTGACCAATGACCATCGTTGTAGCTAGCTTCTTCCAGTAGGTCTGCTGAGAGTTGATTTCCATGTTGGGGTGCGAGAATGGCGTGACCACGAGGAAGTTGAAGTTGACAGTGCCAATGACATCCAAGTTGTTGGCCAGAATCGGCACACAGACATCACCCTGGAGGTTCATGCGCTTCGTGCCAAGCGTAGGCCTGATTGATGACAAGAGGGCTACGCCGCGTCCAATCTTGTTCTTCTCATTTCCAGAGTAAGTTGGGACAATATCAAACATGAGCTTGACCTGGGAAGGATCTGCCGAAGTGAACACAATAGGCTCCGTGGAGATGGTCTCGTGGACAGGCAAATCAACAATGGTGGGCTCTCCCTTGGCACCACTGGCTGACACGACAATGGACAATGCCGTGTCCAGTTCGGTCAAGTGAGCCTCGGTCAGGGGCACGCGGTCGAGCTTAACGGCCTCGAGATTCTTGCGCATATCCATGGACCCGAGACTGACGAGAACCATGCTCTGATCGGTCAGGTAGCGATGGCCAAAAGTCTTGACCGGCTCAACGGGGCGAATAGTTCCATTCGACTTGCGGCCGTCGATCGATGACATGTTTTCGGGAGATGATGACCGAGGAGAGCTTTCATTGGAAATCTTGAGATTCCTCGTAGGCTGCACAATCTCGGACTCGGCTTGAGTCGCGAGGAGCCTGGCAATGTCGAAATGACCACGCAGGGCGGCGTGTTCCTTGGCGGTCCAACCTGACGAGTCGGCCTTGGCGACTACCGCGCCAGAGTCGACCAGCAGTTGCACCATCGACAGATGGCCGTCAACAGCGGCGACATGCAGTGGCGTCCAAGCATAAGTGTTCTCCGCGACCTCGAGGTCGGCCTTCTGCTTGTCAGTGCCAGCAATCAGCGACTTTGCGATTTCATCGTGACCGAATCGGGCGGCTAGGTGCAGCGCGGTTTCACCCGTTTTGTCCTGCCAGTTGATGTCCACCCCAGCTTCTACGAGCATCTCGACAATGACCTTGTAGTTGGACTTGGTGGCCATGGCGAGAACAGCACCGGATTTGGATACCGTTCGTCTCATCTCGGCCTTCCTGACACTAACACCCTGCCAGTTTTCTCCCTGCAGAAGTGCTTTGGTGGTCAATGGATGTCCACCCACGACACTCAAGTGCAGAGGAGCATATCCTTCGTTGTCCTGCCATTCGGGGGCGTCAATGCCGTTCTCGACGTTGAATTGACCCCATTCTTGCATCTTGGCCATGATGATTTGGCACACCACGACGAAGCCGAATCGGGCGGCATAGTGAAGTGGCAAACGTCCAAATGAGTCTCTGGCGCTGAGTGCATCTCTGTGCTCGGGCTTGAGGGTGTTGAGTAGGTACACGAGAATCTGGACAGCCTCGTCATCTTGACCAAGAAGCTTAGTCTCGTTTTGATTGAGCGCACGAGGAACCACAGCCTGTGAGACTGCTGGTTGGAGGTCGTGAGAGGTGAACTGAGTGCCGATCGGGAAGGGATACGATTTGGGCTCATTATCGGGATCAGACGACTTGGTTCTGCCGATGTGAATGACGAGCCGGTGGATGCAGTTTCTATGGTTGATGTCGTCGGGCTCATGGATGGACGGCAGCTGATCGATGAGATAGGCGATGCTGGCCTTGGATCTCGCAGCAATAGAACGCTGCAGGAGGTTCAGAAGCAAGCTTTGAGACGACTGCTCGCCTGTCACGTTGCCCTCCTCCAGTCCCGTCTTGAGCGACTCGACATTATCGTTGCGGATGGCCTGCTCCAAAGTGTCGAGTAGGTTTTGCGACAAAGTCAACATGGCCTTGGAGGACACGCGGCCCAGCGATCGCACTGACCTGTCTGACTTGGAGTCGTCCACGTTGCGGGCGTCGCCCAGGGCGGAGATCCATTTGTTAATCTCGGCGAGGAGGCGCGTGCTCGTTGTGTCTTTAGCAAACGGCAACGGGTCTACCTTTGTAGAGATGTAGCGGTGCTGGGAAGCCGTCTCGGGAAGCTTCTTGTCGAGCTTTTTGGTGATTTTAACAAAGCCTCTGCGGTTGATCTCGGCGAACCAATTGAGATTTCTGAGCATGATGCGCATCTCGTAGAGAGCGCCCATGAGCTCCTCGGTCTCATCTTCGTCTAGGTTAGAGACGACGTCGGGGACACGGCCATAGCGGTCACGCAAGAGACTGAGACGGCGGACGGCCTCGCCAAGCTTGCGGTTGTAAAAAGAGTCGACATCTTCGAGGTTACGATCCAGGGCAAAGAAGAATTCTGCAACATGCGGTCAGGGGATGGGCTGCGCCCTCACGGTCCGGTCCAAGTCCGCCCACCTGCAAGATCCACCCTCTCTCCGTTCTTGGCCGATTGCGCCGCGGCCTTGATCAACTTCTTCAGGCCCTTGTAGTTGATGTAGAAGGCTGCCCACTCGGGGACTTGGTTGCGGGGGAGACTGCAGACTACGTAAGCATGTTTTTGTATAAAAGAACGAGAAGCAAAGGCAAAGGCAAAGGCCAAAAATAGCTGAGATGTCGGTATCTGTCGGGGGAAGGGAGAGGGGGAGGGGCGGAGGGCGCACTTTCTGCCAAACTTCATGGTGAATGATGTCTGAGCCCGTTATCAGGGATTGGAAGTGACGCTGTGGCGTCCGTTCGTAGTGATACTGTCTGTCTAGGCGATACTCCGTACGGCTAGATAGAAAGAATGCTGCAGCAACAGATAAGGTGCTGACGAGAAAACAAGACGTGAGAAGTGAATATTGAACAGCTGCTTAGAGGCGGATGGACTCGCAAACGCGATCAATCATATTCTCTCTCTCTTTCTCAGTTCTCTCAGGTGCTCTCGTTTTTTGGTCGGGATTAGCTGCTGACGGTCGGAAGTTTGTAGTAAGAGGTAAGTGGGGTTGGAGGAGGATGCCAGAAACTGGATGAACAAATCCAAACCAGTGTACCGGAGAAAACTCGAGATCCTGGAAGGACGTCCGCCTCTTCTTTGCCGCGGCAGAGAGAGGATACAATATTCAATGTCGCTCAGGGCAGTCACGAGAGTCCCGTTGGTTTTTCCAGGTTCAAGGAGCTCCACAGCCAGCTCGCCATTGACTGACAGGGCGGAGAAGCAGTGACTGAGAGCGTATTGTCCAATGACTGGCTATCGAGTACACTCAATAGCCCAAAGGGAAAAACAAGAAGAAGAGAAAAAAAGGTCTGGACGTTCTAGGAAGCATCGGTGGGTTGGAGAGGGATTTTGAATGAACCAGGACTTCAGACCGACCGGCGCAAGCAGAGTGGATTGACAAGTGACGGAAGCATGCAACAGCAAGTAGGAGAGAAAAGACGAGGTGTGAGAGGTGTGAGAGGCGTGAGCTCATCTCAACATCCACCGCGACCGCCGGGTATCCGAGGCCTTGGCACGCCGTACCTAAATGTCGGTGATCAAGTACCCCACACGCCAACTGGTGCTGGGGAGGGACTGCCGAGTCCCGGCGCGACGACTCGAGACAAGGTCGGGAGGTACCTGAGACATCCAGCTACACCATCTGCGTAATGTACCCAGCGCCAGTCGCTTCTGAACGTGACGGCAGGTGAGGTGAAGGCAGGAAGTGGCAGCAGCAACCCAGCAGAAGGTTTCTGCCCTCGAGATGAAAGAGAGTCCAAAAACAGCTTGAGGTGTGGCGTTATCCGGTCGGTGAAGCTAGCCACTGGGAAGCCGCCGTCGCCCACCCGTGGAGCGTCGCCGGGTCGTGATTCGCCAAGTCACGGGATAGCCGCTCCACCACGGCTTCAGCTGGCCGGCCTGTCCATGAGCACCCCGCCGTTGATGTAGCACCATCGCTGGCCATCCTGACCTTTTTTTCCATCTTCATCTTCCAACGCGTACATCTAGCGCTCCTGTCACAAGTGAAAAAGAAAGAGAGAGAGA